ATCTGCTTTTTCCATCTATAAAACGGAGCTAATAATATCCTCTCCAGATGTATGTGTAAAGGTTAAATTAAGTTGGTTGGAGAGAATTCAAAGTTGGTTTTATTTCTGCTATTCTGGTTAGTGGTGCTATAAATCTGTCATTTTTTTAGCCCCACATATGCATTGCAACTATTTATTTCTACAGGTTTTGTGACTGTGAATGTGTTAAGTTCTCTAAGGCTCAGTTTTCTCATCTGCAAAATGGGGGATTGACGACAACGATAATGTTAAGGGCTAATGCCTATAGAGCACCTGCCACGTATAAAGCACTGGGTAATATGTCATCACAATCATGTGGATTTTGTCCTGTCATGACCTTATTTTACAGAGAAAGACTGGCATCCAGAGGATAAGTAGCTTGCCCATTATAGTAGAGATTTAAGGTAGTAAAAATGTAAAGTGGATAGCATAATATCTGGTCGAGATTTAGGGAGATTATTATTAATATCATCAACATCATGACCCTTGTCCTCATGTCATTCATAATTTCCTCTACCATTGTGTGATCTCTATGAGAAAGAAAGGGAGGAAGGAAGGAAGGAAGGAAAGAAAGGAAGGAAGGACGGAGGAAAGGGAAGGAAGGAAAGAATGAAAGAGAATGAGAGAGAAGGAGGGAGGGAGACAGACAGATATGCATGGATAACATGCATGCATATTGCTTCCTCATGCATCTTCCATCACATTTCTAACCTGTTGACAATTTAAAGAGTGCTATTAATGTGGAATGTGCCAGGCCTATTAACAATCATCATCTCCGTTGGTAGTGTGCCATTTTCCAATGTGCCTGTACAGATGAATGTAACAAGATAAATTGCTCTTGTTCTTTAATGACTGCCAAAGTTCTCAACACACAGCTTCAGCCAGTGAGCACCTGTATGAACCCTTAAATATTTTGACATAATTATGTTGACCAAGGCTCTCTACATGGAGATTCTAAACTGACATTTACAGAAAAGTGTCTTTCACTTTATTATCAGGCCATGAAAATGGCTTTTGGAGGTTAAGCTACAGGGGAACTATTGTTTTTTCCTGTGTATCCTTGTTTATACCTAGTACGTGTCTCTGGCTGTTCTAACACAGCAATGGGGGTCATTCTGCTGCTAGCATTTCTGAAAGAGGAGGCCAGAATATATTTACGTCTTGCCTGAACTGAAAAATGTGTTCCCTTAACCCATATTTTCCCTTCCAGCTATTAATTTTCTTCCTTTTATCCCCCATACTATCAGATTTGAGTATGAAAAATGTTTTGTATTTTAAACACGTCCAGTGGATATTCAATAAAACGACAAATTTTTATAGGATGACAAAGAAAAGCTTGAAAATAATGGAGGAACAGTTGGCTTTTTCGTAATTATTTTAATTTATTCAGTTATTTATTCCCACCATATTTTAACAGGCATTTATCTAGTGCATAGTATTTTTTTTTTTTTAAAGATTTTTTAATTTTTTCCTTTTTCTCCCCAAAGCCCCCCGGTACATAGTTGTGTATTCTTCGTTGTGGGTTCTTCTAGTTGTGGCATGTGGGACGCTGCCTCAGCGTGGTCTGATGAGCAGTGCCATGTCCACGCCCAGGATTCGAACCAACGAAACACTGGGCTGCCTGCAGCGCAGCGCGCGAACTTAACCACTCGGCCACGGGGCCAGCCCCAATCTAGTGCATAGTATTATGTCAAGCCCTGTAATTAAAGAACTGATGGTCCAGCTGAGGGAAGGAGGAGCAGATACATAAATACATAATTAAAATATGCTACAATCATTATTGTAATAGATATATCTGTAGAGTGCTTTGAAAATACAGGAAAGAAATTGCCTTTCTCTGCTTGGGAAACTGAGGAAGCTTTCAGAGAAGAGATGCTATTTGAGCCTGTTCTTGGAGGCAAGAAGGGAATTAAAGGGTAGAAGGAAGGGAACGAGTATTCTAAGCAGAGAAAATGGCATGAAATATCATTAAACACAGCATGTCCAGGGAATAGCCCAAAAGGGTGCATGGAAGGTATGTTGGTGCAAGAAAGAAAAGCCAATAAGTGAGTTTAGAGAGAGTGAATTTATGAATGTTTGATAGTTTTTAGATTCCGACCATGTACTAATCCTTTATAGAAAGAAAAGGAAGTCATATGGTAATTGTCTTTCTCTAATTGACTTATTTCACTTAGCATAATACCCTCAAAGTCGAGCCATGTTATAACAAATGGTAGGATTTCGTCTTTTTATGGCTAAGTAGTATTTCAGTGTATATCTATATATCACATCTTCTTTATCTATTTATCCGTTGATGGGCTTAGGTTGCTTCCAAGTCTTGGCTATTGTGAATAACGCTGCAATGAATAGGGATGCATATATGTTTTCGAATTAGTGTTTTCATGTTCTTTTGGATAAATACCCAGATGTGGAGTAGCTGGATCATATGGTATTTCTATTTTCAACTTTTTGAGAAATGTCCATTCTGTTTTCCATAGTCTCTATACCAATGTACATTCCTGTATGACTTCACTCATATGTGGACGATAACTACACAAAGGAAAACACAGATATGGAAAACAGCCTGGTGGTTACCAGACGGGAAAGGGGGAAGAGGAGGGCGAAAGCGATAAAGGGGCACATGTGTATGGTGACGGATAGAAATTAGACATTTGGTGGTGAACACAATGTAGTCTATATCAAAGTTGAAATATAATGATGAACATCTGAAATTTATATAATGTTATAAACCAACGTGACCTCAATTAAAAAGAGAAGTCTAAATCATGCTAAGTTAAATCGTCCATTTACTTTGCATGATGCAATAAATTTTTCTGATTTCTTTGTTTACTTTTTCAAAAAGAGGATTTCCAGGATGTGGAAGTGTGGCAGTCTCATTTTCTGGAGCTACAACTCTTTTAGGCTACTGAGGTCATCTTGCAATTCTGGGCATAAGGAAGACTCCTGGATGCCTTCTGAAGCCATTCGTTTGTTGTCTAGAAAATAATAGAAGTTTTCAGAGCAATGGGTATGGCTGGGCCTCAAAGTACAATTACCATTAGATGATAATCTAATTTGACAGATCAGTCATTAAGCAAGATGATGTACTGAAAGTTAAAAAAAAAAAATCACAAAATCTTATAAAAAAAGAAACGGAAAGGATAAAAAAAAGAAAAGTGATCTTTCCAAATAGATTAAAAGAGATTTACAACACACACGCACTCATGTATGCACAGGTGGTCATATGTTAAAATTCTAGTTTATCCATACTCCAACAAGAAAACAACATATCTCAGTAACTCATTGATGGATTCTCTTCCAGTGGAGTTATTTGGTGATGCTGTGGCAGTAAGTGAGTTTATATCCCTTATGGTGACAATGAAGGAATTTGATTCTTAGAAGACGTAGAATGTCAAGTATATTTTATGGTAGCCTAATTGTTTGGGAAGTAACAATGTATATTTTGCCTGAAGGCACATGTTTGTGAGGTATTGTTGATTTTCATACGTGTGGAGCTTTGCAATGAATGAAGCGCATACAGAGGATTTGTGAAGAACACATGTGTGGTCAGTCATTTTCAAGCAGGTTACCACGAAGGGAGAGGAGAACAGCCGAGAGTGAGAAGGGAATTGCCATAATTTCGATCATCTTGGAGTCCACATCTTAAAGCTAAACCGTTACTCTTAGATCCCAATTGTCTTAGCCTCATGTGACCTGGATCATCCCTCACCTGCAGTAGTGCAAAAAAACACTGACTGCACAAGTATCAAAGATTTCAAACCCCCTTCCATTTTCTTCTGGATAAGTTTCCTGTGGTCGGTAGAACACGGAAACATAGTTACTATAGGAAAGTGCAAATAAAATTTCATGGAATTTGGCCTAGTATGAAACTATAGACATGTTCTAAAGTTTTTCAGGGAAATGCATGACAAATTTCACTTAAAAAAAGGACATAAACTTGAGTCTAGTAGGCTACAAGGACTTTCTTTCTCTATCACCTATCTGTGTAAAGATGCTGGGAACATTTCTTCCTTGGAAGACTCTCCTTTGACCGTCAGTGATAAATAGTCATGGAAGCCAGAAGGACAAGAAAATAAATAAATCAAGGACTCCAGAGAAATATCTTTCCACTTTCTATAGAAAATACACCCACATATTTTAATACAAAATGCATAGTTTTCAGAAATTCACTGCTGACAGAAGACTCCTTTTAAAATTACTTAGAGGGGAGTCATAGCTTTGTCATCAAACCCACGACCATAGCCATCTTAAACCTTAAAACGTCTAACTCATTCTTCTACTTTTTTTCACTTGCTTACAGCTGCTCTCACTTTGACTTAATGACTAAGAGCTTGGCGACCCTAGGAAACTCCATATTATTTTTCTTCTTAAAGAAGTTAAGCAAATCAATTTTACTCTTTTTTGCCATCAGACTGCATTTTCAGGAGACTCTCTACCCTTCCGTCTTTATTTAGGCTTGGCGAATATTAGAAACAAGTGAGAATCTATTTCAGGTCAGTGAATGGTTTCTGAAGATCTGTGTGCGTGGCTACCTTTTGTGAATAGGCAAACACAAGAATTGTAAGAGAGACAGTGGCCTTCCAGGAGTGAACGGTTTTGGTGCATGTGCAGTCTGGTATAAGAGAGTCATAGAGAAGCGTTCCATGCACAAGATACTCTAAGCCAGAGGCTGCCAGTTGGCTACTTTGGCCTTTGCATCATTGGCCCTCACAGTATTTTTGTTTTTAAGTTGCTAAATGAGTTGGTAACATTAAGAATCACTAGATTTTGAAACACAGTTGGTGCCGGTGCCCTGGTGGTTAAGTTTGGCACGCTCCGCTTTAGCGGCTTGGGTTTGGTTCCCGGGCATGGACCTATAAGGCTGGTCAGTGGCCATGCTGTGGGTGCAGCACACATAGAAAATAGAAGATTTGCAACAGATGTTAGCTTAGGGCAAATCTTCCTCAAGCAAAAAGAGGAGGATTGGAGACAGATATTAGCTCAGGGCAAATATTCCTTGGCAAAAAAAAAAAGAATCTCTAGATTTTGAAACAGAGATTAGAAAAGTGGTTGCCAGCGACTGGAGGCTGGGGAAATAGGGTCAGGTTAGTAAAAGGGAACACACTTCAGTCTGAGGATCTAATATATAACATGGTGACTATAGTTGATAATATCATATTGCATAATTGAAATTTGCTGAGAGGAAAACTTCAATGTTCTCCTAAAAAAAGTAAATAAATATATGAGGTGATAGATGTGTTAATTAACTAGATGGGAGGAATTTGTTCACAATGTAGACATATCTCAAATCATCATGATGTATACTTTAAATATCTTACAGTTTTGTTTGTCAGTTATACCTTAACAAAGTTGAAAAAATAAAAGAATTACTAGATTTTATCTAAAAATGCAGACTTCTGGCTTTCCTCAAAAATTGGAAGTTCTAACAACACTGCCTGGTCTTTCTGAATGGGAGTAATGAGATGACGCTCAGTGGCAGCTGTTCTCTTTACAGTTTTGTCACACTGCCCATCTTGCCACTCCTCCTAACATCTCCCTGACACTGTGGCCAGATGTCGATTACCATTTATAATTGTGGTTTCACGTTTGACCCCTTATACCCAGTCCACATCACTCTCTCATGTCACCTGCCTGTCCCAGTACGAATTAGAAGTTGCAAACCTTTGCATGGGGTATGTGGTTTAGAGTAGACAGTGAGTTTTCGAGGACAGGGCAAGATCTCTGGGTGTCTGAGTAATCAGCGAAGCTTCTCAAAGAAAGTGAGGCTTGAACTCACCCCTGAAAGAAGGATCGGTTTGAACTGAGGGAGGGTCACATACAGGTGATTTGGGATATACTCAGGAGCATCTACCATGGCTCAGCAGTGGGAAAGCATAGTTCCTGCAGAGGCCTGGGAAGGTATGATTGACAGGGAAGGATGGGGAAAGATTTGTAGGGAGTACTGTATGACTGGCATAGAAGTTTTGATTTTTATCCTGGGGGTCACGTAAGAGACTAGGATAATATTTTCAGATCATTATGCTGACCATAGTATGCCAGATCTACTAAAATAAGAGAAAATAAAGTAGCCTATTACTTCAGAAGCTATTGGGAGATTCCACTTGGAGCAACGTGGAAACCTGTATTCTAAAAAAAATCATAAAATAAATAATATAAAATAAAAACAACAGATGTATCAAATGTAACTATCCGTTTAAATGTGTATCTTAGCTCATAAGTATGCAAAGAAAATTCTCAAAAAACAACAAACAGACAATAAAACATGAGAGTGGAAAATATGAGCTGTCAGTTGTATTGCTCTGTTGGAGAGAGAGAGTTTGAATAGCTGCATGGGGTCTGGAGATAAGGCCTTGGACTGTACATTTAGGATGTGGACCTGAGACATTTACATTAAACCAGACCCTCAAAGGGATGGGTGAGAATAAATCCACCCACTTGCTAGAAGCTTGTCTGTCTTAACCTGTGCTCCAGGGAGAGAAACAAAGGGACAGGGAGAGGAAGAGAGAGAGAGGTTCCCCTGTTAACATGGGGCCTGCCCTTGGTTAACTTCCAAGCTAAGTAATTGCTACAAAAAGTGATCCCAGTGGTTACAACCTCTGCTGGAAACAAATGGAGAACCTACAATCCAAGCTTTTAAAGGATCTCTATAGATAATAATCAAAGAAAGATAAACTCACAATCTAAAAATGTAAGTCATAGTAAGAGGGAATATCTTTAAATCCATGAGGGAGCAAGGCCAGAGCTTTGAGAATTTTACCTAACAGAAGTGTTTGAACAGAGATTGGAAAAACACGATGTTTAAGAGGATTAGCTTATTCTAGAAGCCAGTCATAAATTCACAATCAGAATCACAGGGATCTCCCTGTTTTAATGATCACACCTCTTCACTTTTGTAGAGAAGGGAAGTGTGAAGAGTAAATAATTGTCCACAACCATAACATATTTTTAAATGTGAGGACAACAAGTAGAATTTAAATCTCTGACTCTAACACCACAGAGTTAGGGCCGTCATATAAAGAGATGTGGGAGGGAAGAAATAAGAAAGAAAGGTGGAGTCAATGTTATTTGGTGATTCTTTGGGTATAGCAATAAAACGAAAGTCAAAGATCAATAACCACAAAATACTGGGTAGAGGATTTAGCTTTTAGCGGCTCTGTTTCTGGAAGGAGGGAAGTGATGTCAGAGGAAATTGCAGTGTTGACTTTCCTATCCATAGCATCCTTGGCTTTTGTATATTTAACTGACATTTCCAAAGCAGTTATTATAGGCAGCACATCCAGGTCGGGCAACGTGATAGACGCACAGATGATTGAGTGAGTCATGGCTTGCCTTTTAAGAAATATGCAATTTAGCAAAGGGAGTAAATAGGATACAAAAATAATGGGGAATTAACCAAAGAGGACAGAGAATGTGCTGCAATGCAGGCTGTAGATGCAGCTATCTAGACTTTTATCCAAACAAAACATTGGGACTATGATGAAGGACAGTTCTAACCCAGGGCAGAGGCAAGACCATTGTTCAATTAAAGTTTATATGTGAGATCTGAATTTCTTAAACTAGACTCTCTCATCTTTCTCATTCTGAAATTACAGAATATATGGCTTTTACCGCCTTTTAGGAAAGGACTCACATATTTAACACAAACAGACAAAATATCAACCCACCAGCTAATCTTACATTATAAATTACTGACATTCTGTAAAACTAGTTATTATTGCCACTTTAAAATTTTGTGTGTCTTATTTCTCCTAGAGGGTGAAGGATCCTTTCAGAAAAGTGTTTCTTAGTTGAAACGTGTAATGATGTTGTTGATTTCCAATTCTTATCTATACGTGCTTTGATGAGGATACTCATATCAGGAACAATGTCACAAAATCACAACATGCCCCTCTGGGCAGGTTAATATGGACTTTTGGGGATAATCCTTATCGACATGTCAGATTTAACACATGGCTTCTAGCACAATTGCTTGAGCACATACCCCCATTTATAGGAGACCACAGACTTTATTAGGGAAAAGAAATTCTTTGGGAAGGACATGTTCTGGGCAGGGGGGAATCCAACAATGAAAGCTTGTTTGAAACTATTTGAGCCTATTTCTGCTAGGAACCCCAATAAAGAAGCTCAAATCTAGGGTGCTGGATGAACAAGAAATAGATATAAAGATAGATATAGATCTATACCATACATATATATGTACATATATATATACTTTTTTCTAAATACTGAGGATGGAAATTGTCAAACTGGATTTAGAAGAAATACTGTTTCTTAACCCAAATTTCAGAACTCGGCGGGTGGAGGTGTCAGGGCAGCAGGGAGCACTGGTCGGCTTTTATCCGCATTCAGGTCTCCCTCCAATTTATAAAATATTTGGTCAGGGTCTACAATACTCCTGACAAAGAAGAAGCTTCAGAGAAGCCTTTTGAAAAAGAATGCCTGGCTGTTAGGGTTTGGAAAATAAGAAGCCAGAGGTGAGGTTGACAGGTTGTGTAGGGGGAAACAGACAGAAGTGACAGTTTATTTTTAAGCATTTCAAACTTTGGCGGATCAATTTTCTGAAAGGGTTTCCTTCTGATTGTTCTTTTGAAAGTAAGAACTGCCAGGGCTACAACAGAAAGTTGACACCTATTCAGTTCAGCACTTAGAAAAAGCTAAGAGGGAAAAGAAAGACTTTCAATTCTTGTCCTTTCTATTTATTGCGGTGTTCAAAGCAGTGAATAGTGGAGTTGGTGCTGAAAAGCATTTTCCATTATATCTACTGCAAAGTCTCAATGAGTCTCAATGAGGAAGGAGAGTCAGGAAGTAAACTTTTTATAACTTGGAGAGTTTGAAGGTACATTCGCACAGCAAACGGAGCTGGGATGCCTGATGTAAGCTGAAACCTGCAGGATAAGAAAAGTAAAATTAAACTTTTAGAGCTACACCATAATGCTATCAGTGCATATTATATTATTTTCCAGAATTGATTACATATTTGACGTCTCCTGTCTTTCAGAAATAAAATTAGGCCAACCACAAGCCTGAATTCATCTACTTTTACATGAGATTCACTTAGTATTTGATTTGGCCGCTTATCATAAGACTTCGTCATCACCTATATTATATGATAGATTTTTAAGTACGTATCCATGTTCTCCACTAGATTGTTAGTCAATGAAAGGGTGCTGAGTATTCTGTGTAGAGTGGTCAGCGTGGTGCTTTGCCGGTAGTTATATACTCAATAAACATTTAATGAATTGGATCTTTGCAACCTTCCTCATCCTTTCTCTTGCACTTCTTTTGTGTATTCAGATTGAGCACACGTGTAGAGTATGATGCTGGAATAGGCATGGGGATTTTTACAAACTGAAGAAAGGGCAGAGTTTCAACGTTACTTAACTAACATTTCATAAACAGGGGCAATGCTAGGCTCTGAGGTAATAGAGATAAATGAGACGACCCATGCTCTTTAGGATTCCAGCAGATGAAAAGGAGACAAAAATAGATAATGCTATAAGCATTTGGCTGGAGCTGGATAGAGAGGACTAAACATTGAAGAGATCTTTCCATGTCCAAGCAACACTAGACAAACTCATCATTAAGATGGGAAAGCACATGAGAGGGATAATTTGCTTTGGTCTGAAAGTCAACACTGAGAACACAGCAATGTGCAAAAGCATCTGTGGGTCCTGATAAATGGCTCACTGCTGAAATCTCTGGTTGATTTGTGTCACATTAGCAGTATCCTGTTTCTCAATGTGATCGTTGGAAAGAATAACTCTGTTGCAATTTGGTTGGCAGAAGCTTATAGTTCTCTTGGACAGAGACTAAGTATTTGTGGAGAGACTAAAGAATTGAGTCAAAATAATGTGTGCTGTTGCTTGAAGATATACCCAGAGTGATGAGAGCAGTAGTTCTCAGGCTTGGTTGCACATTGGAATCACATGGAGAGCATTAAAAAATTTCCTGTCGGCATCCCAGGCCAATTAAATCAGAGTCTGTGGGAATTGGAACTCGGTTTTACAGACTCCTGGATGATTCCAATGTACACATAGCCAAGTCTGAGAACGAGTGGGTTAGCAGTAGCCTTCTCAAGCTGTAATAGGGTATAGCTCACCTTGGGGTCTTGTCGAAATGCAGATTCTGATTCCATGAGTCTGGGTTGAGGCCTGCAATTCTGCAGTTCTAATAGGCTCCCAGGTGATACCTATGCTGCTGTTGATTAATAAGGGGCTACAGTCACAGAGGAATTAGAAATCTTCCAATTTGCTAGCTTTCCGATCTCTGCCCAAACTCTTGAAGGTAAGGTGGTTAGAATGGTCCTATAGGTTTTATATAATAGTTTTCCATTGTTGTTTTTGCTTACTTTCTCAAAGAACTGGTAGCATGGGATTTTGAGATTTAGTATTAGTCGCTGAGAGGGTCTACCATGGCCTCTTAAAAATATTATATTCTAAGATATATTTTTTTGGAATTGGATGGAGTTGGAGGCCAAAATCTCTTCATATAGATGTAGGTGATTTAAATTAAAGTGAGATTTTGAGCTTACATCATCTTTGTGAAAATGCCTCTCTAAGTTAACTTTATTTTGGAACTTCACCTGACAACCATATAGCTAAAACTATCTCCTGAACCCCGACTTAATTTTGGATACAGAACTATGAAGGGCTAACAGTTGTGGTCTCTGGATTCAGACTGCCAGAGTTTAAATCCTGCCTCACCAGCATTCTGGATAGGAATACCCAATCTCTTCCATTATGCCAACAATGGGGATAACAAGAAGACCTATTACATGTGGTTACTGTGAGGATTGGATAAGGTGACATTTACAGGACCTAAGAATACAGCATGGCTGTCACCAATCCTAGATGAATCTCACTTTCATCAGAGAGACAGAACCTCACAGGAAACATCCCATACTTTCACAAAACAGGCAGCTATTTTGAGAATTAAAAGATGTGGCTATTCTGTGAATAATGGTCATAGATTTATTCACTTCCATGTATTGCCCCCATAGGTGATATTTGTAGCTCGTAACTTGGCACGGTTCATTCATATATTAAACACGTATTTCTTAAGCACCTACTACACGAAAGTCACTGTTCTGCATGCTGCAGTTAAAGCAGTGAACAGAATAGACCAAAATTCCTGCATCTGTGAAGCTAACATTCTAGAAGAGGGTCTAACAATGGGAAAAAAAAAAATGTGTAGTATGCCAGGTGATGATGATTGCTATGGACAAAATTAAAGTAGGGGAGAGGAAGTGCCAGAGGGTGCAGAGGGTTAGCAGTACTAATTAAGGTGCTCAGAGAAGCTCTGGAGGAGATGACCTTGAGTTCACCCAAAGGAGGAGAGCAGGAAAGCCTTGCAGAGATTTTAGGAACGCGCGTTCCAGGAACGGAGACTAGGCAAAAGCAGCTGGGAAGGCCTGGAAAGCTATTATATAAACCAGGAACTAATGTGGCAACAGTTGAGGAAATGAGGGGGAAAGTAATAGCAGATGGGTTAGAGCAGTGGCTCTCAGGCTTGATCATACATCAGAATGACCTGGAGGGCTTGTAAAAGTACAGCCTGCGGGGCCCCATGACCAAAGTGCTCAATTCACGAGGTCTGGGGAAGAGCCCGAGAATGGCACTTCTAACAAGTTCCCAGCTGATGCAGGGGGATGAGCAGAACATCACATTGACAACTATTAGATTAGATTGAGATTAGTGGCAGACAGATGATACTGGACCTTATGAGACATTATAAGGGTTTTGATTTTTACTCTAATTGAAAGCGAAGTGAGTAGAGAGTTTTCACCAGAGTACAGTCACGTGTCACTTAATGACAGGGATACATGCCGAGAAATGTGTCGTTAGGCAATTTTGTCATTGTGTGAACATCATAGAGTGTACTTACACAAACCTAGGTGGTATAGCCTACTAAATACCCAGGATATATGGTACTAATATTAGGGGATCACCATCGGATATGTGGTTCATCGTTGACCCAAATGTTCTTGTGTGATGCAAGACTGTATTAGTTTGACCAAAGGCACAGGTTATGCAAAATAATTCTTCTGACAAAAGTGTGATAGGTGCCATGGCTTCTTTGTGATCTATATGATCTATGTATATGATATAATACCGCTTCAATGCATGTGAAAGCTTTCAAGCACTTCAATTCATTTTGTAAGACATATTTCACCTTATCATGTATACTCTGCTGACTTATGATTCTGCTTATTCACATGGCTGATCATATGAACTGACATCAACATCAAATATAACAATAAATTAGTTCGGTCTGATTTAAACCCAAAGTCACCACAGTACAAATCTAAACCAGGTCACTCAACAACAAGTAATTTGTTAAAATATTTTTTTTAAATAATCACGTTGGTATCCTATGGACGTGGTCATTGCATTGGTGTTAGCACTTTTTAAATATTACCTTGCATTGGGGTTCATTATTTTCCTGGATGATGTTGATAACACTACTATTGTCATCCCTTTGTTGAACTTTTGTGCTATCTTTCATATGATACCATATTCAGAAGGGTAGCTTTTCTTAAGAACAGGAAAAAACAAACAAATCAAACATTGCCTGATCAGATTTTTCTGTTGCTTGATGTTGTGATATGTTAAGGCGCTAAGGTCCAGAGCACTGTTGTGAGGTCTTAATTTTACATGATCTTGTTGAAGGCAAGATTTATAAAATGACATCCTTCATGAAGAAAATGATTCCAGCCAGGGACCAAGGTAGCCAGTATACTTGGTAAATCTGTCTGGCCTACTGCTCTGCAGTTTTTGTGTTCATTATTTCCCATCAGTGTTTCTCCAGGTAAAAATTGTGGCCCTCATGTTAGTTTCATTAAGCTATATTTTCAATTCCTTGTTTATCCAAGCAGAACCTATTTTTTGTCTTTTTAATTTTTTTGGCGTAAAAATGAGAATTCTTTGGAAATCAGTTCTCCAATGAAGATGACTATAACTCCAAATGTAAATAAGTTTGGTCCCATACTACACTGCCACCCACAAACCTAATTTCCTGAACTTTCTACTTCAGGAAAGAAAGTATTTTTTCCTGGAGCATTTGTCCTTTTGATTGCATTGTAGGAATACCACACACTTTTACTGAAATAACATTTTCCATTTTCCATGGGATATATGCTTAGACACTGAAAGTACAGGGCACGCTGACATTGGAGAATACAATGTTTGCTCTTAGAGAATGCTGTCTCCTCTTTGTTTTTACTCCTCCTAAGGCTTGTGTGATGATATTTAACTGTAGCTAAACATCATCTTCCTTCATAACTCATCAGTGCTATCCTCTCCAACTTCCTGAATTTCAAATAGCAACTGACAATTTACTCTGAAACTGAAGAGAATGTCAATGGTAGCTGACATTTATTGAGAGCTTACTATATGCCAGGCACAGGGCTAAATGTGTCTGTCTATTATTACATTTTATCCATGTAATATCCTAGGAGTAAACTGCTTAGAAAGGTAAGTGTCCAGACAAAGCCATATAACTAGAAAGTAGGGGAATGCGGATTCTAACTCTGCAATTTGACTTCAGAATGTATGCTCTTAACTTTTATGCTCTCACTTAAATAAAATCACCTGACATTGGCAATGCTTTAGGTAAATATAACTATAAGCCATAAGGTTAATAAGTTAGTTAAAAACAAGGCATAGTTCACAGAAATAGAACAAAGAATCTAAAAATTCATATGGAGCAACAAAAGACCACGAATAGCCAAAGCAATCCTGAGAAGCAAGAACAAAGCTGGGGGGATCACAATCCCTGACTTCAAAATATATCACAAAGCTATAGTAATCAAAACAGCATGGTACTGTTACAAAAACAGGCACACAGTTCAATGGAACAGAATTGAAAGCCCAGAAATAAAACCACACACCTACAGACAACTAATCTTCGACAAAGGAGCCAAGAACATACAATGGAGAAAGGAAAGCCTCTTCAATAAATGGTGCTGGGAAAACTGGACAGTCACATGCAAAAGAATGAATGTAGATCATTATCTTTCTCTGTACACAAAAATAGACTCAAAATGCACCAAAGGCTTGAAGGTAAGACCTGAAACCATAAAACTTCTGGAAGAAAATGTAGGCAGTACACACTTTGACAAGGGCCTTAAAAAGATCTTTATAAATACAATGTCCAGTCAGAAAAGGGAAACAAAAGAAAAAATAAATGAGTGAGACTTCATCAGACTAAAGAGCTTCTGAAAGGCAAAGGAAACCAAGATCAAAATGAAAAACTACCCACCAATTGGGAGAAAATATTTGAAAATCATATATCCAATAAGGGGTTAATCTCCATAATATGTAAAGAACTCACACAACTGAAGTACAAAAAGATAAACAACCCAATCAAAAAGTGAGCACAGGACATGAACAGACATTTTTCCAAAGAAGATATACAGATGGCCAGTAGGCACGTGAAAAGATGCTCAACATCACTAATCATCAGGAAGATGCACATCAAAACTACACTTAGATACCATCTTATGCCCATTGGAATGGCTATAATCACCAAGACAAAAAATAATAAATGTTGGAGAGGTTGTGGAGAAAAGGGAACCCTCATCCACTGCTGATGGGAATGCAAACTGGTGCAGCCACTTTGGAAAACAGTATGGAGAGTTCTCAAAAAATTAAAAATAGAATTATCATATGACCGAGCTATCCCACTACTGGGTATTTATCCATAGAACTGAATCAACACTATGAAGACACTTATGCACCCCTATGGTCATTGCAGCATTATTCACAATAACCAAGATGGGGAAGCAACCCAAGTGCCCACTGACTGATGATTGGATAAAGAAGTTGTGGTATACATATACAAGGGAGTACCACTCAGCCATAAAAAAGATGTAATCATCCCATTCACAGCCACACGGATGGCCCTTGAGGGCATCATGTTAGGCAAAATAAGCAAGATAGAGAAAGACAAACAGTATATGATTTCACTTGTGTGTGGAATATAAACAAACTTACAGACAAAGAAAACAATTTAGTGGTTACTAGAGGGAAGAGGGTACTGGGCACAAGGATCTCAGGGGAACATTTATATGGTGTCTGATAAATATTAATGTACAACTGAAATCTCACAATGTTATAAACTATTTAGACCACAATAAAAATTTAAAAAAGAAAATGTAATTCACCAGAGCAAAAAATAAATAAATAAATAAATTCCCATTTGCCTAGGCTGTATTCATAGTTGAGCCACATTTCTCTCCCCCCTTGCAAAATTCCATGACAGGGGTCCCTATGCCTATCTTGATAGTCCCCCTCCTGTGAATAAAGTCTTGCTTACCTGCTTTAAAAAACATGGCATAGTTAAGTAATGATAATTTGACAATTACTGTTACAATAGCACTAAAAGCAATAAACCGATGTGACCACAATGAAATAATAAAACATTAAAAATTATATTAAAATAATAATTATTATTATTGGACACACCAAACATACCATGCGGTGTGCTAAGAGTCATCCTACTTCATTGTCCCAACCATTCTGCGAGTAGATTTATCATGCCCATTTGACAGATGGGGAAACTGAAACTCAGCTAAGTCATTTTCTTAGTTCACCTATATAATTAATGGTTGAACCATGATTTTCATCTAATTTAAGTTCATAGCCAATATTCCTACATAATCAACACACATGCCTTAAATGATGCGAACACTTAATGAATCACTGCACCGTGCCAGGCACTTTCTGCATGTCACACTCACTTGACACTCAGTCACCTTTAGAAGCAGGTGTGATCATCATCTTCATTTAGTAGTTGAGGGAAGAGAGTCTCAGAGAGGTGGAGTCTTATGTCCATGGCCACATGGCTGTCGATGAGAAGGCAGGATTCACCCAAGCTTCCTGGCTCCTCCACCCATTCTTCTTCCTAGCAAGAGCCTCCTGAAAGGTGGGGATCCATGATTATGATGGGAGTACCCTGCCCTGTATCTCAAATGCTGGCACATGTTTAGTATTGAGGTAGCTTATCTTACTATGCCTCTCTGAAAAGAGAGTGTGAACTCTGTTCCCCTGCATGAAAGAAAATGACAGCCATAAACCGGAGTGAATCTACCTCCTGAAGAAGGGGCTGGAGAGCAGGACATAGAGTTGGGAAAGGAAAAAACTGAAATCTTGTCCAGCTTCTGGAGGGTAGTAAAGAATTGATGTTGGGGGTCAATTCTCCCTGCTCTCAGTCAGAGACCAACTGAGGAAGGGAAAAAAGGGACCTCATCTTGCCCAGGAAAAGAGACACTGAGGAACATAATCCTATTGTATTGGTTTTGCTATCAAAAGACCCACATGGACTAGTTGGAAGCTCCTGGTAGTTTGGGAGTGAAGTTCTCACGTCTCCAAATTCAGTCCAATTCAGTCACTCCTACTAGACAGGTAAGCCAAACGAGAGTTTTCTGACCTAAGGAATGTTATAGTTATTCTAAAACAAATAGCTTGTATGAATCAATAAAATAGCCATAGTTTAGATGCAAACTTTGCCATTTTAGTCTCTTATTTTCAAGTACTTGAAAATTGGCTCCAAGGTGAGACCAGCCAAAACATCAAATTCAGTGGTCTCTTGCCTATATTTACCATCTCCACTCATCCACCCCTCTTTCTCCTTCCCATCCTTCTATGTTCTATTTCCCCATCCTTCTGTGTTCTATTTCCCCATCCTTTTATGTTCTATTTCTACCACCATTCTAGTCAAAGACTCTTTAAATTTTAACGGTAGAGTGTATCCCTGCCTTTCACTTTAGCTTCCTTGTATGACATCAAGATCTCCTTGTATCTCTGAGTTATAGGCCTTCCTCTTTTTTCCCCCTACTTCCACTCAAATCTCATTTTCTCTCTCCTCTTAACTTATAATGATCATATAATTGATCTTCTTATCCCAAGGCTCTCCTCTAATCTAATCAGCCTTGATCCAAGGGCAATATATGTTCCATAGATTCAATTTCCAAAAAAAGAAATAGAATTTGAATTCTCTTGGAAGTTGAATGCATCTTACATTTAGCTCGAGTTTGCCACAATCTCTACTGTTCCCTGTTATTTTACATGTGAGCTGTTTGGCTCATTTTATTACCTGTTTGGCCCCTGTAGAGGTTATAAGTTTTGTAAATCCATTCAACATGCTATGGGAAATATAGCATGCTTGTTAAAAGTTTAATATTAGCAGAGCTTGGCTTGATACATACTAGCTCTGTGACCTTTGGCAAATCATATAACCTCTCCAAGCCTAGGGTTTTGTATCTGAAATCTGAAAATATGATCACAAGGTTCATAGTTCATGGGGTTGTTGGAAAATGAAGTAAAAAAAATGCACATAAAAAGGTTAGCAAAAGGCATAACCCATATTATGTGCTCTATAAATTTTAATTAATCATTACTATCATCATAAAAACACAAGTCCAATCATATCATTCCTATCTCAAAATCCCTTCTTGTCACATCACGTGCTTAACCACATTGTTCCAGACTCTTCATAATCTGAAACCTAACTACTATTATAACATTTGTTACTCACTACTTTCTTTTCTCTACCATGTCCTCAAGTCAAACTGAAGTGAATTATATACAGTTTTAATGAGTCTCTTTGATCAAGATGTTTCAGCTGCCAAATTGTCCTTCTCTTTCATCATTTCATCTTACTACTACCTACTCTCCAAAACAGAGTTAATATGCCATCTTGATTTAGTGAGCTTTCTGTTTGCCTGTGATAGGAATTAATTTGTATTCCCTTAGGTAAAAACGGGAAATTATCAAATTTAAAGAGTAAAGTTGGCCTAAGGGAAAAACTGGAAGCAAGGTCTAAATAGTTGTTGAGGTTTTCTACTTTGCACTTCTGTTTCTCTCCTCATGTCTGCTTTATTCTATGTTTTTTAAGTGCTCTTTCTCTGCTACCTACTTTAATTGACAGGATATGTTGCCCTCAGCTCCCAGGTTCACATGAAGCAGTTCCGTTTGTACTTGCCGGTGAACTCAACTTTCTTTTAGTTACAATTCCAAATCCGTGGGATCTAAATTCTAATTGACCCTGCTTGGGTTATGTCAATCGGGGTCATGGAGGTGAGATGGGTAGGATCATTCTGCATTACCTTGGCTAAAAAGAACTCACCCGAAAAGGAAGGGAAGGTAACACACAAAAGCCAGGTAGCTGGCTAGTGGGCTTGATATATGCACTAAAATTGCCCCCTGATATTGATGGATTTCTCACTATGTGCCAGGTGCTGTTATAAATATGCTACCGCATTTATCCACTAGACATTATTAGAGACCCATTTTATGGATGAAAGCACTGAGTCACTGAAGTTCAAGTAACTTGCACAGGGTCACACTACTAACAAATGATAGAGTCTGGAGTCAAACAGAGCCCCCCATACCTCAGCCTGCGCTTGTGACTCTACTACATTTGTCCCTGGCAGTGAAACTTTCTCCAGGCTTTCAGAAGTCAGGGGTGTCCAGCTTCCCTAAATTCCCCTATTCCTCTATCTTTCCTTTCTTTGGGCACATGCCACTTTTCTTGTCTTACAGTCACTATTTGTGTATGTATCTTAGTTATCTTTCTATGTTATAAACATCTTAAGGACAGTATCTTGATCATCACTGGGTCTTTCACAGCCCCTGACTCAGATCCTAATGATTTGTATATCCTTCATAAATAGTTTTTGAATGCACGAACAAGTCCATGAGCTCCTACTTGGCATTGTTGGTGTTCATTCTTTGTCGATCACCATGATAGCTATACCCAGTGAATGCTCTCTGAGTACAGGGCCCTGTGCTAAGTCCTTTCAAACAAGATCTCATTAACTCCTCTTAGCCTTATGAGATACATGCCACAAGCAAGCCCATTCCTTCAGAAGGAACCTGGGCTTAACATGTATCCAATATGTAAATTGACACTACGAGGAATCAAAACTACATCTTTCTGACTCTAGAACTGTGTCCTTAAGTACTTTGACACCGCACCAGCTATTATTTATTTTTTTACATTATAAGATTGTTTATCAGAGATAAACGTATGGGTCAATATTTCTGAAGAATTAACCATCTTGATTAATAGGATGTTAAATTATGTTTTCCTGAAGTCAGAATTTTAGAATTGTCATAAAGTCTGAAACCCTTCACCTTAGAAAATGTTTTTAAGAATGACTCTAATTCTTGGCATTTGCTTTTTATTATGCTTGGTCTGAAATTTTCAGCCAAACTTCCACATTTTTAAATTGCTCTCCTAAAAACCAGTAGTTTCAGGATGTCAAAATAGGGACTTTAAAAGTCTTTGGTTTAAATGCAAATTGCAATGTGTTTTGACTCATGAACCTCATTTTAGGCAACTAAACCAAAATTGTAAGCATGCATCTAAAAGACCAGATTCTGTAATGTCAAATTAGAACCTTTTTCTATAGTGAGGTTTTGGAAGATGATCAACATAAGGTTACTAGAAACACAAAGTGTAAAGAATTCCTGTTTGGATCCATTCTCCACCCTGTGAATGATGTGCTGTTTACTTTCACCCAGTTCAATCCGGTATTTTCCAAAGCAATGGTTTTCTTTTACACTATTAACTGTACAGAAAATCTAACTTCAATAATTTATTTATTCATTCAAGAATTATTTATTCTGCTGAATAAATGTATAATCTGAATTCCCCCTTATTTGACCTCTCAACAGCAGTCAACACTACTGGCCTTCCCATTTTTCTTAATTCTTTCTCTTGCCTTCTATGATCCACCTGTGCCCTAGATTTTATTCTACCTGTCTGACCACTTGTGCGTTATATACTTGTTCATTTCTCACTACAGTGCCATTCACTGCTGAAGTTCCTCAGGATTCAGCCTTTCTACTTTTCTCACGTTATTGATATCCTCCCTATTCAATTTGTCCTCTATCCATAGACAGATAACTTATGAATATATATTTCTGGTACTGACTTCTATTTGTGGTGTAGACCTCTATATTCAACTATCTACTCATCATTCATTTAGATGGTTCAACGGCACTTCATGTTTAATTTTTCCAAAGGCCGATTCAGAATTTTCCTTCCAGGAAACTAGAATTTGAATTCAAAGAGTATAGTACTGCCATCCATCCATGTATGCACGCCTAAGGCTGGGGATCGTGACAACTGCTCCCTCTGCCTCCTGCAATATTGAGTCCATCAGCACATTTGGTTGATTTAACCCACCAAATATCCCTATTCTGTCCATATTTTTTCTTTTCTCCTGTCACTGCCATCTGATAAGACCAATATTCCTTATTAAAACCTTTCAACTATTTTCTCTATTTCTTAGATAAACGATAAAGATATCATAGTTTTTAACACTGTGCTTTGTCTGCATCTGCTTTCAATTTTGACTTATATCTTTCTTTAACTTTTTAAGTAAACATTTTATTAAAGTATAACATGGTACAAAAAAGTGCACAAATCTTAGGTGTATAGCTTGATAGATTCTCATAAAGTTAATGTGCCCGTGGAACCAGCTCCCAGAATCAAGAAACAGAATATTTCCTGTGCCTAGAAGTGTCCTCTCAGTCCCCTTTGGTCACTAGCCCACAAGGGTGACCACTATCTTGACCTCTGCCACCACAGGTTACTTTTGCCTGTTTTCCAACTTTCTATACATGAGAATGTGCAATGTGTAGTTTATAAATCTGGCTTCTTTTGTCCAAAATTAAGCTGTCTGCACTATACTGAAACATCTCTTTCATCATATGTGAGCTGACTATGTATGTGTTGGTTTATTTCTGTACTAACTTTTCAGGATCATCGATCTATTTCATTCCTCTGCCAACAACATACATTGTTGTGTATACAAACGTGCCGTTTGTTCTGTTGCTGCATAGAATTCATTTTATGAACACACTACACTTTTTAAATCCTCTCTACTGTTGATGAAGATCTGAGTCATTTGCAGTATTAACTATTACAAATAATACTGTTATAAGCATTCTTGTACATGTCTTTTGATGAATACTCCTATGCTATTTTGTGAGGTTATATCTAAATATAGGGCATGGATATATTCTGCTTTAGCAGATATTTCTGATATTTTCTAAAATGCATATACCAATTTATGCTCTCATCAAAATTATATCGAGTTTCAGTGTCCCAACATTTGACATTTTCTGTTCTTTTCATTTTAACAGTAACTATGCACTCATATCAAATTGGGCTTTAATTTGTACTTCCCTTGTGATTTTAGAACTTGAGTGCTGTTCATTTGGTTATTGGTTTTGGATATTCTCTTTATGGAGTGGCTGCCCAAGCTTTTTTCTCATTTTGTCTATTGTATCGTTGACAATGTCAAATGAATTTGAGGGTTGTTGCTTTTTTTCCCCATATATTCTGGCTATGAGTTCTTTGTTGAAATAAATATTGCAAATATTTTTTCCCAGTCTGTGCCTTTCCTCTTCACATTCTTAATGGCGCATTTTGATGAATAATGGTTACTGTTTAGTGTATTCTGATTTATCGGTTTTTATGGTTAGTCTTTTCCGTGTCCTATGGAATAAATCTTTACTTACCCAGCATAAAGTAAGTAATAGTGTTTGCTTTTTTCTAAAATCTTCATTGTCTTACCTTTCACAATTAGATCTAAACTACATCTGGGATTGATTTTGTTTCTTTCTGTAAGGCATATAATACTGTTCAAGAAACTCTTTCTTCCATATAGATGTGCAATTTATTAAAAGACCATGTCTTTCCCTACAGCAATGAAATACTCCTTTTGTTATGAATCAAGTGATTGTTTTTGTGTGAGTTTGTTCTGGACTTACTGATCCATTGGTCTAGTGATCTATACCTCCACCAATATCATCTTGTATTAATTTCTATAGCTTTATAATCAATCTTTATATCTGGCAATTTAGCTCCTACAGTTCATTGTTCTTCATGATTGCCTTGCTATTTGCATTTCCATTGGCATTTTAGAATCAGTTTGTCAATCTCAAAATAAATTGCTGAAATTTTGTTTGGGATTTTATTGCCTCTATAAACCATTTGAAGAGAATTTATATCCTACAATACTGAATTTTCCAATACATAAACAAAATAATCCCTCCATCCATTTAGGTTTACTTTACTTTATCTCGATCATGCTTTTGAGTTTTCAGTGTAGAGGTTTTTTTCATCTTCCATTAGATTTATTCCTAGGTATTAGACTTTCTAATGCTATTTTAAAGAATAGAATTCTGGGTTTGTTGCTGTCCAGTCGTTCTTGATCTTAATTTCTCTAACTGTTCCATATGCGCTGCCCTTTTTTCGTTCTCTCAAGTTTCTGTACTTCTACCGATTCTTCGACCATCCCTCTTCTTGCAATGCTTTCCTCTTGCATTTCCCTCTTCACACAACTAATCCCTATTCATTCTTTACACTTCAGCTGGATTTCATATCCTCAGCGATGCCTTCCTCTGCCTACCTACTTACATACAATCTCCCTATTTATTCTGCTATGGAGTACCTAATCATCTCTCATATTGTTTATCACAGTGAAAGCTTATGTTTGTCTTTGTAATTATTTGATGTATGCCTATGTAACCTCTGTAAGGGCAGGACCACATCTGTTTCTTTTTGTCTACTATCTGTAGGGCCTAGCAAGGCATGTGGCCCATAGTATGGGCCAAATAAAGATTTTTTTAAATGAATGAATGAATGAATGCAGGAATGAATGAGTTTCAACTTCCTTACAGGCCCTGTTTGAGGTCCTGGGAGTACAGAAATGAACCAAATATAAGACAATCCTTGTCTTCTTCCCATTTTGGAAACTTTCCTCACCACCTCTTTTTAAAGAATACAAAATACAAAACATCATCAGAGTCCAGATCAATGATACTACTTGATGTCTGAATTTATGGTTTCTTCTCTAATCTTCCAAACTTGTAAAAAATTATGTACTGAATCATAAAAATTTTAATAATCATTTTAATAGGAATTTTACACTAAAGCTTAAAATAAATGAAGAGATATATATGTGTGTGTGTGTGTGTGTGTGTTTCTGTGTGTGTGTGTGTGTGTGTGTGTGTGTGTATTTAACAAGAAGGCCAGAGAATCTCTGAGGTCGTGGCTGATGATTGTAATTTTAATTGTAATTTAATAGAATTTAATAAATTTGTGTAGAAAAACAACTCCATCAACATCGGGTCTAGCTCTCTGTCTACTGTGGGAATGTTCTCCACAGAGTACCTGAAATAAAATCGTCAAGACTCAACTTGGACCTTTGAAATGTCAGGAATTTTGTTTTGTCCCATCCAAAACCTATGATGTTGATATTGAACTAATAAACATTTGCAGGAAACTTCGCATGAGCAGCAGTGAGACTGGGATAATGAGGCACGTATAGGGAAAATGCCTTACTTCAGTGTTACTCGTTGGGGATTTTGAGAGTGATAATTAATCACATCCCTTTCCCATCTGGATCCTGAATCAAGCAAGAAACAGAGTCATCAGATAGGGATCAAAATATCAACGTTATTGCTATTAAAGCTACATTGGAGAGTATTGTTTTGTATGCAATGAAAAGTGAGGCTTATTACTACTTCCTCTGAAGTCTAGACCCACCTGAAAGGGAAACATGAGTATCAGAAACTTTGATTCCTCCCGGTCGAGGGCACTTCATGCAGGGACAGAGTGAAAATACGTATGCATATGGCTACTAAATCATTTATTTCAGCCAAGCAAGTAATGAATGTTAGATGCTCAGTGATTCATCATTTAGATAAATTAGTCTCCTCCCCAAAAGGAGCAGTGAAAGGCAAGAAAGAGGAGAGCCAGGTGTAACATTAACACTCTTCTTATGGTGGTCGGGGCAGGGTTTGGGGGCAGTGGGGGACGATATAGTCTTCTCAAGGAAATCAAGTATAAATGAACAGCATTTTACAAAATATTTTTTACCTGTCTATGACATAGCTATCAACACATATTAAAAGCTATTATAAACCATTGAGATCACAGAGTGGGGGGAAATATTTGCAAATAATCTGATAAGAGATTGATATGCAGAACACATAAAGAATTCCTAAAACTCAATAATAACAACAAAAAACAAACAACTTGATTTAAAAGTAGGCAAAGAAACTGAACAGACATTTCTCTAAAGGAGCTATGCAAATGACGAATAAACACACAAAAAGATGCTCAAGACCATCAGTCATTAAGGGAATGCAAATGAAAACCACCGTGAGATACCACTTTACATCCATTAGAATGGCTATTATCAAAAAAACAGAAAATAATGTTGATGAGGATGTGAAGAAATTGTAACCCTTGTACATTGGTGTTAGAAATGCAAAATGGTGCAGCCACTATAGAAAATTGAATGATGCTTCCTCAAAAAATTAAACGTAGAATTACTATATGGTCCAGCAATTCTACTTCTGTATAACAAAAGAATTGAGAGCAAGGTTTCAAAGAGATACTTGTAAACCCATCTTCATGGCATCATTATTCACAATAGCCCCAAAGTGGAAGCAACGCAAGTGTTCCATCAACTGATCAGTGGATAAACAATGTGGTATATACATACAATGGGATATCATTCAGCTTTAAAAAGAAGGGAAATTCTGACACATGCTACAACATGGATGAATTTTGAAGACATTATTCTAAGTGAAATAAGCCAGTCCCCAAAGGAAAATTTTGTGATTCCTCTTATATGAGGTTCCTAGAGTAGTAAAATTCATAGAGACAGAAAGCAGAATGATGATTGCCAGGGGCTGGGGGCAGGGTGAAGGGGGAGTTAGTGTTTAATGGGTACAGAGTTTCAGTTAGGGAAAATGAAAAGTTCTGGAGTAGGATGGTGGTGATGGTTACACAGCAATGTGAATGTACTTAATGCCGCAGAACTGTACACTTGAAAATGACTAAAATGGTAAATTTCATGTTATGTATATTTTCGCACAATAAAAAAGGTGAAACTATGGTATCATCGCCTTAAGTAAATATTTTTAAAGAAAAATAGCAAGCCAGTTATAAGGAAAACTGATATTTACTGTAAAGCTATATTTCTGTAGAGGTTAACTTGGGGAATGCTTACTTTTTGTGCTTATCTTAACAACATGCATGTGAGAGGCAGGCATGGGGCATGAAGTATATGATTTAATTGAACAAAATTGTGTAAACTTGTGAGCATATATTAAAGTAAGGGCTATGAGAAACCATTATGAATGGCTAAATTCCTGCCCTCTTTTCATTCCATCAATAGATATTTCTGGAGTTGCCTCCTATGTGTCAGGAACTGTGCTAGACTGTGGGTATGTAGTGGTGCACAAGATAAGCATGAAGTCCGATTTCCTAAAGCTTCCATTCTCATGAAGAAGTCATACAGGAACAAAGAAAACAAATACGTAAATTATTTTTCACATTGTAATGACCGTAATGTAAGTAATAAATAAGGAGCTAAGCTAGATACCAACAAAGGGAGACCTGCTTTGTATGGAGTGAGCAACGAAGTCTTCTCTGTGAAGGTAGATTTTAAGCTAAAATCTAAATGATGAAGATGACGTACCCATACATTGAATAAAGAGAACATTCCATGCATAGAAGAAAACCTGTGTGCACTCTCCGAATTGAGAAAGAGCGTGGCATGGTGAGAAATCTGAAGAGCAGCGTGATTAGGAAGTGGTGAGCCAGGGTAAGAATGGCATGGGATCAGTTTGAGTCAAGGAACAGCAGCTCGTATCAGCATTTTCCAATAGGACTTTCCACATGAATGGTGGCCACTAACCATGTAGGGCTCCTGAGCGATTGAAATGTGGCTAGAATAACTGAAGAAATGAATTTTTAATTTTATTTAATCTCAAATGAATTTCATTTGAGTTTAAACAGTCTGATGTGGCTAGTGACCACTGCACTGAACAGTGCAGGGTAGTTCATATGGTGCCACCCAGGCCGTGATAAATGCTTGGATGTTATCATGAGAAAAATGGACAGCCGCGGAAGCAAAGGAGACGTGAGATTCAGTGTATGTTCTAAGAAAAGGGCTGTAGCTGCGTTCTGTGTCAGATACATAAAAGTAAAGTTAAGAGTGGGAATAGAGCAAAATGTTAAGAGTGATCTGCAGTATTCCATGGACGAGGTTATGTATCTCAGACCAGAAGATATTGGTGGGGATGGAGAGAAGAGAGAGAATTTAAGATACTTCTGGGGGATGGGGACTAGTAAAATTAATAGAGTTTGCTAATCTATTAGATGAAGGAAAGGAAAAGAACAAGACAAAGATGGACTCTATTTTGAGTAACTAGGTAAACAGTAGTGCAGTTTATTGAGAAAAAATTGATTGGAAGTAGGGGAGGGCAGGAATATGTTTTGGTGAAAACTTGAAAGATGTTTAGACTTGATAAGTTTGAGAGCTCTGTGGAACATTCATATGAAGATTATATTAGGCAATTGGATATTTGAATCTGGAGAAAGGTCAGGACTAGATATAAATTTGGGAGGTATCCATCTAACATTGGCATTAAATTGATGACAACTGATAGATGCATTTATGGACAGATTGGAGAGCCACAGGAGAGCCCAGAGCCAATATTCAGAGTCACGCTTAGCTTACAGGAATTGAATTATATCACTTCTTGAGAATTTGCAAGTCACTATAATGTGTAGGGTTGGCAATTCATTTAAATGCTCTCTTTATTTGAGGTATGATGGACTTCAACTTTGCAAATTGATATGGAGTATGATTAGTTCATATTATTTTGTCTAAAACCATAAACATCATTAATAATTCTGAATGTCAAATCAGAAGGAGACTCCTACCAGTAAAACAAACTATTACATTTGTTGGTTCACAAACTGGCCCTCTTACACAGAGGGCAAGGAGAGACCAAAGAGAGAGACAGACCACTCCAGAATGGTATATGGCAGTTTTCATATGCAAGGGAACTTACATACGAGGCTTGTCTGAGGCAGCTGCAAGATGAGAAGATCTCTGCACCAGCCCATGAGAATCTTAAAGTTTATGTAGAGGTCTTAACTGGCTTCAGTCCCTATGCTGTCCAAACCGTCTCAACAACAGCTTACTCTCTCAAGGCTGAATCCTTGAAAATGGCTTCCACTGTGGGAACAGTGGGCAGAATGAACATTCCAAGGACAGGGGAGGAGTGAAGAGCCTCTGATTGCCCAGGTCCAGCTCAAGGGTCAACCAGTGGTCATGTCTTCTCAATGATGATGACCTACGACAGGATTCTAACACTTTTAAGCATTGATGATAACCGTTTTTAAGAGAAATATCAATGTTTAGAGATTTTTTCTCTAGGCAATGTGAATAACTTTAGGGTGGGGAGGAAATAATGGGTGAGTAGAGTAAGGGAAGTCTTGGGAGTGGACAACATGGTTTAAACGACTCTCGGCAGGTATAAAACATGAGAGGAACTGAAAAACCTAGTCTTTTTCATCTGTTTCTGTATCACACAGATGGAGCATTTTTCTAATGAAATATTCCTCATATCTTCCTTTCTTCCTCCCTCAATCCCTCCAGCCTGTCATTCAATCAGTAAGTCAGTCAGTCAGTAAGAAAGGAATTTTTACTCTGTAGTCACCATTTTCTGTGTACCTATCTGAATAAAAGAACATCATAATTTGGAAGAGAGAATACCAGCATTCAATTCGAAATTTGGACCTATGAAATAAGACAGTCTTGTGCAGCTTTAGAAGAACGCAACTAATATTCACCTTTGCCAATATCTTGCTTGAGCATACTGGTGTGTTATTTATCCAGGCTTAACTTACTCTAAATGATAATAGTCTCAGCTAATTTTGAATAAAACAATAAGCACTTCGTTTTCACTATGAGTGTCATCACACTGTCTTCTTTTTCCTGTTAGAGCAATCTAGGTTCTCTGCATTTAAATGCAGGATTCTTGAGCATGATGAGGGTCCAGCTCCTGGATGACATAGGTCATGTATATGGACTGAGAACCCTGAGTGTAAGCAGACATTGTGTGTTTT